GAAACATATTGTAAAAACATATCTGCAGTGAGCTTTAATGGAGACGCAACGAGCCTAAATGGCAGTAGTCCTGTTGAGAGGGCGAAGACAGACTCTTTATGTGGGCCATGAGGCACAGCGGTGGCAGGCAGCTGGCAGGCAAATTCCCATAGCCCCTGAGGCTGCCTCTGCCTCTGAGGACTCGCACCTGCAAAGACCTATTGGATTTCCCACAGCCCTTTATATCCCTCAATTTGAGCATGCTCTAATGATACAATGAGACTGCAAACATGAAATAGGCCAGAAGTCCTGCATTTCTGATTCCTCCCACTGTACAAGTCAAAAGTAGGTCTGGACAAGTATTTTTCAGTTTAATAGTAAAAATAAGCTTATGAAAAGAAACAATTATTTCAACTTTAAACATTATAATTTAATATCTGTAATATGTAGAAGAAAATACTTGAAGAAAGTCACTGATTACTGAAGAATCATACTCATTTGCTGCACAATTTAGAGATCTCACATATGATGTTCTAATGATGATGAACATGAGCTGATAATAGAAAAAGCCCTAAATAGCTCATTAGCATGTTTAACAAATATTTTAGATGAATTTTCTTCTAATGCCAGTATAATTTATTGCATAAATAAGCATCTTTTGCAAAAAGGACTTGCATCAACACATACAAATGTATATCTATCCACGAGGTTTTTAGAGTGAGTGTGCTTGTAGGTAAATCAAATACTGGTTTAAATCACTGGTGGAGAATAAGAAACAGGATTGGAACTTTTCGTCATTTTTTCCAGAGTCTCAGTATCAGCAGCGTTTATAAGGCTTTTGTTTTTTGGTTTTTTTTTTCTTAAATAATTATACAGGTAAGATTCTATACATCCATCATTAGCTTACCAAGTTCAGGCCAAAGTTACTCCCCCACATACTTTTAGTGTATAACTGTCTGAACGTGCAGCTCATAAGTATTTTTCCTGAGGAGATACGTGAGAAAGTTGGACCATCTCACCATCATGGATTACTTAGCCAAATAATCTCAAGTAACATTACACAGATATTTGCAACTGCCCGTTTTTCTTATAGAAATGAGGAAAAACACCCCCCCAAGCTATGAAGATGTGAATAATAATAAAAAGTAGAAAGAAATACCAACCCACGGAAAAGACACTGCACTGTGAAATTTATTCCTCACTTTCCATAAACACATGCTAAGTCCCGTAGCAAGTTCCTTCCAGGCAAGCTCTCCTGCTGACCTGCCTCTGGTACAAGCTGACCGGTTCTGCTACAGGGACGCGTTGCACGTGTTTTCTCTCAAGCAGAACCTTTACTATTAGAAAAGTACGGATTTACATTCTTCTACACTAGGCTTGTACATCAGGAAGGTGCAACTCAATAAAATAAATTTGAGTGTACAATATTATTGCAGTTTCAGACTTTAAACTCTTACTGAGTTCATGTTTTGCCTAGGAGCCATTGTAAGGGGAAGACAGACAAGTTGGACCAGAGAGAAGATCCAAAGCACAATCACACGTGGTTTTGCTGGCCTGTCCGATAGAGCGGGCCAGCCCTTCCCTCCAGACACAGCCCATCCAGTGTTGACACAGGCAAATCCCTCAAGATCGCAACTCACAATTGCCCCAGAAAGGGCAGACAATCCCTCTAAAAATTCCCCCCTCTCCACAATGACTCTAGTCTACTTTCATTTGAAGCAACCCAACTACAGGAATAAGTGAACTGTAAATAACTGGAATCCCAGTCTAAAACAAGGTCATAGCCTGAGCAACAGCTACGGGAAAAGTCACAAAGGACCCCATACAAGTTTAAACAAAGTCCTGCTTCTAACACAGGTCAAACAGCATGCAATACAAAGTTACTGGCTACAAACATAAACACCTCACACTAACTGGTCAGAGCAGAAAATAAAGACTCGCTTGCACAAACCAAAATTATCTGCTTCACAATGCTGCCTGTAAGAGGATCAAACCATTGTCTTTAGTGGAGGATACTTGCACCACTCATCTTATTTCAACATAGACTTAGATTTAATATGAGCAACTTCAACTAAATTTCCATCACTTTATCACAAAACTTGGACAATATATGCAATATTTCAAAAAAAAAATAAAACACAGCTTCATTTCATTGCAGCTAATCAGTAGAGATGTCAAGATAATTTCAGAGCAAACAGCCTCTATCAGCAGTGCATCAGAGTCCAACTGAACTTTTTCTGGTAGAAACCACAGAGACTGTTTGCATACGGTATGTGTAATAAAGGAGTCAGACACTTAGCATCAACAGTGTAGACACAGCCAAAGGGTAGTAAGACCTTCTCTATTAAAAGAAAATAATGAAGAAAAACGGGTCAAGGAATTCGGAAACTTGTCCCCACAAATGCAACTACTAAATGAAACATTTTAACCACGGGCAACCATCCAAGAAGAGGTTCTGTAAGTATGAGGTTTTGTACTTACAAATATTAATGGAAAAAAGCATAGCATAGGCAAGGAAACACCCCTTTTCAACGTGGTACGTAAAGTTATCTCAGAATAACAGCGGCATTCATTTTAGAAATGTTTCTGATGTATAAACAAGTTCATCCCTATCTACATGTGACTATTTTGTGTAATATTCTTACTACCAACTAAACTGAATGAGATTACAGAAGTAGAACTTTTACACAGTGGTTTCTTTCTGAAGGCTCCACTGAAGCCAACATTGTGTACTAAAAACTGTGAGATTAGTTAGTTTACAGATTACAGCATAGCATAAGAATGCTGAAAAACCAAAGTGTATGTTGCAGTTTGAAAATAAAGAGATCTTGTTCTTTGATCTACCAAAGCAGTTTTCAGTGTTTTTCAATGTAAAAATAAAATTAGAATTAAGCAATCATTTCCAGATCAGTACTGCTTGTATCTTTTATAGAAATAATTTCAGGTCTCCAATTTGTTTATCATTGGACGGGTAATTCATTCCCCAAAAGTGCTGTAACCATATGGCTTTCCTTTTGATTACATGAGCTGCAGGAAGCATAGATCCTACATATTAAAAAAATGTGTGGCCTTATTGTGATAAAGCCTTATTACAAGCTAAAAAACTGTTATTACTTTGTATATTATATTATTATTGCAACAGGTGAAAATAGCTCCTGTGGCCCAGCTGCATAACTAGCTGAACTCAGCAAAGCCGTATTAAGTAATTCAGATGGGTACAAGCTACAATTTACAACAGAGGATCTTTTAAAAAAAGAAAAAATATACACACACAGCACATGCACTGAAAAACATACAATCAGCATGCTCTATTCCTTGGTCTATTAGGAAGTGTTTCTTATATAAAGGGAACAGAGAACTGCACAGCCCTGCTTTTATGCATGGTAAATGTGCTTACTCAATAAGGCCTGGGGCACAGTATTTGCCTGAAGCCTCCAACTCAGATTATTGTTCTGAAGAACCTTTTTAACATCTCCTCATGCAACGTGGCTTTTCATCTAGCAACCACCTGGAGAAAAAAGTTACTAATTGATGCTTTGAATTCAGATAGAAATGGTTGAATCATATAATGTAATAACTTGCAATTCATAACAATATTAAATAATCTGATTAGAGTATTATATTTAATACTGCTTCATCTAATACTTCTTGATCTTTTCAGTTCAACTATATCAGCTACTTTAGGTCTCAAAATGAGCCACAGATGTTTTATTTGGTTATATTTTAGTGAACAGTAGACCAATGACTGTGATGCGAAAATACCCAAAATAAAGGGCATTAGGTGTCCTAAAATAAGGTGATAACCGTATATTAGAATTTAAATGCATAACTTTGTTATCTGAAAAAGAATAAATCGAGTATTAGACACTTTTCAAGGATTGTCTTTTGGCAGAGGGCGGGATGAGTAAATATTAGGGGAGAGAAAGGAATAGATAGGTATGAAGAAAGTCCTACAGCAAACCAGAGATTGTGGTTCAGGCAACTCTACAGAAGCCGAAAACCAGCATCGGCCCCTGGAAATCCTGCAGGGCTGTTGGGAGCATGAGCAGGAGTTTCAGTACAGCATTCAGGCAGAGTTATGAAATTCCACTACCCTGTAGTAAAACTGTTGGGTAAGATTCTCAAATAATGTAAAATTGGATATACATTTCAGGGGCACGATGAAAAGAACACCGAGGTAAGTGTGATCGTCTCCCAAGTCCAGACTGCCCCAATGGAAGACGCAGCCTTCTCTGTGCCTTGTTATATGTTCCAGTTGGCTGGAAAATTTGGTTGTATGAATGGTATATTCTGCCAAACCTTCAAGTGAAAGGAACCAAGTTTAAGTAATTAGTGTGGAAGATCATTTGCTTTTAGGCAGGTCTACACAAACTCAAGTGTCCCACACAAACTTGGCATCTCTTGAAAACCAAAGAAATAAACATTTCCGCTCACAAGCCCCCTTCTCCCCCCCCCACCTTTTTTAAAGGATGAATATATTCTTAACTACCTCATCTCTAAGAAAAATAGCATCACTTCTTGCAGATATTATATGTATATGAAAGTTAAAGACACAAATTTTTATTAATATTGACTAGGTGGTATTCAACCAAATACTTGTCTCAGACATATAACAAGTTGTTTGGAGTTGTTCAATTCATACTAAGTTTGAATTCCAGACCTAAAACTTTCTCAATTTTCAGTGAATAGACTATTTTCCCTTTGCTTTGAGTCAGGCTCAAAATTAAGTTTCTTATAGTTCTCCCTCTTTCCTTCCCCACTTAACTTTTCTGTTTTTAACCATAAGAGATATTCATCAGGTTGCTTGATTCGACCTTTTTTTTTTATTCAAAGTTCTACACATTAAAAAAAATATGTTTTGGTCTAATGCTTCAGCCATGATTTGTAAAGATAGGTGCATAAAATAAGAATGCTGTTAGAACTGGTAGCATTGCTATAAGGAGACTGAATTACAAGCGAAATCTGAGGTAGCAAAACTGAGCGCAGCAAACTTAAAGCTCGTGTTTTCCATGTTTAGGAGAATGAGTCTAAAAACTTGCTGGCTTTGCAAGATATTCAGAGCAAAGAAGAACAGGGTCACTACTGAGTAAGTAATAATATTTTTATTCTCATTAATATCATGCAAAAGTATGTAGCATCTTCACAGCAGCCCCAACTGACCATCTTTAATATAGCCAATTACTTTACAGTAACACAGCTTGTACACTGGTTGAGTAAGCGTGGATCCCTTCTGCGCACGAAGCTGCACTCTGGGGAGGATAAGAGACATGGCTCAAGTGTCTCCTGCAAGTCCTCCGCTCCCACCTAGCTCAGAGGAGGCCAAGAGCATTCAGGTCTTCAGACGACACGCTGCACAGGGGTGGCTGGAAAGCTCCCATCCAACATGTCAGAGAACTGGGTGTCAGGTCACGTGCTGTATCTATTTATTGACCGCAGAAAAATACGCCTTCCACAGCAAATATTGAAGTGTGTTTGAGGCTTCCCAAGGCTGCTGTTTGAGTGAGGTTAAGTGAGAGCACGTCAGAAACCCAGACAGCATTTCCAAAAGTGCCGTCTGGGGAGGACTCCTCTGCTCCCCAGCGGTGGCTCAGCCAAACTGGTGCAACACAGCCAGGGAAGCCTCTCGCACCGAGGAGAGTACAATAAGTGAACTCCCACAAGGTGTTACAATAGCATTTTCTAATTTAAACCTTTAAGCTTCGGATTTTTTTTTTTTGGCAAATTTTTCAAGTTTTTCAGTGTAATGCGCATTCTCCAGTGAATTCTTATCATGTAGCACATCAGTGCAGCAAAAAGATTATGTCCTGGAGAGCAGCTGAAAGAGCAGCATTAGTACAGATCCTAATAATCCATGCTCACGTTTTCCTCACTGACTTTTACATTTTCCTGAGTTTAAAAGGAAGAGAGGGGGGGGAAAAAAAAAAAAGAAGTAAAAAGCTTTTCCTCTGTGTCAGCTGCCTCATCAGGCGGTGTTCTTTCTGCTTCACAGATCAATGCTAAAGACAAATAATCAGAAATGGAAATAAGATGGCACTGCTGATGATGCTCAGTGAGACAGACAAGATAGTCACTTATTCTATACAGAAGTAGCATTGCTGACAGAGGTAAAAATTTATCTGCGTCAGTAACAGCCAACATGACTCAGAAGTAGCTCTTAAAGAGAGACTAAGATTCTCACTTCCAATAACCACACACTTCATGAGTTTACATAAAGAGGAGGCCATCAGTGCATGAGAAAAATGTCTTTTGACAAGAAACAAGCACCTATTAGCAAGAGTTACAAGAGAACTAGCCCCCCAATTTGTTAGTGGTAGAGTTGCTATTACTACGCATTTTTGAGGCCATGAGACTGATCCGGCCAGCCTGACATAATAAGTCTTTCAGAGAAAGAGTGAGAATATCAAATTAAAAAATAAAAGGGTGGCCACCAATGAAAAAGGCTACAAACCCAGTGATGATTGCTGTGCAGAGAAAACCTGTGCAGCAACACACAGCACTCATACCAAAGCCAATTTTGCTTTTAAGTTGTATACGTACCTATATCTACACTCTGCAATATTGAGTAGCAGCTGTTCAGATTAGCAGCTCATGGGAAAAGGCCACGCTCAGAGAGAAGAGCGATCTCCTCCCCAGTGTGCCTGGCACACAGCAGAGAGCACCTACTGGAACGCATTCTCCCCGTTTTCTTCTAACATAGGCTTTTTCTCCCCCCCCACCCCAAAGTTGCCAGCATTTAGGTCCTACAACTGCAAAGCTTGGAAAAATCAGCTGGTGTAAGTGGAGCCATGACAATTTACATTCACTTATGATCTGGCCACCAAGTATTTATTTTTGGTTAAATTGTTTATTCTCTCACCTCACTGCTTTTATACTCTGTCCCAGAATCAACCAGGAGACTCCTGTAATCTTATGAAATTATCACTTGAGAATAACAAACATTAAAAAAAAAAATTGTCTTCAATCACCTCCAAGAACTATGCCTAGATTAGTAAATGCGTCATACTTTGTTATAAACAACCGGAGATAGAACGGGTAATACATCCCTGCACAGCTGAGATTGTATTAACCTCAGATCCCAGCTGATAATTCCGCTGGCTGGTAACTTGGATTGTAAAGGCCTTTAATAACAAGGTGATCTGGAGCCCTCAGAGACTTTGCTACTAAATACAAACCTAACCTTCGACATTTCATAAACAAACTATATGGTTCTGTCCCAAAGAAGTTACAGTCTAGAAAATTAGTGCTTTCCTTGGGCTTATCCAAATAAGCATATGCCATTTCCCAAGGAATTAGAGGGAAGTATCTTGAGACGGAACTGAACGTTTAGTAGAGTGAGGAGAATATTTTCTTCAGCATAGTTAGCACAGGATCCGAGATATGCAGAAAAGCCCTTTTAAATGCAAAATTCATGCTCATCACATTTAAATTAGGGGATAGATTTTCAATTCAAAATTTCAATTTGTACACTTTGCTTTAGCCAGCGCAAACTATACCTCCTAATGCTATGATAATCTCCTTTTTTCTAAAGGGTGTCTCTGGAGGAAGTACTCCAGTGGTCCCAGTCTTTTGAAAAGCTGATAACAAGCAAATGTAAGTAACTGTATATTTTCATCCTAGCTGGATTATTGAAAAAGTTTCTATAAGGGCAAGTCAAGAAGCCATAAGACAGGGTGTGCACTATACTCCATATACAACTACTGAAAAGCACCTTTCTACGTGATACCCTTCGCACGCGTTGCACCCTGGCCCCCCTGCGCCTCGTTCAGGCCTCAGAGTTATCCCACACAGGTTTCACGCTGAAAGTAGGTCTTACAGTTGTAAGCACTGGTCATGCTCGACAAGCGACAGCCCTCGGTGAAGCCTCAAAAACGTTCTCCTGGCTACAGGCATCTTAACAGCTTTGTCATCTAATTCTGTACAAAGCGGGTCAGATGAAATGACGACAAAAACAAAAGGGGAAAAGAGTCATCTCAAAAGTCTAATCTTTGCTAAGGTCCCACCACCTGCTACTGTCCAACGCTGTCACCAGGTGTTTCAAAGACATGTCCTCACATACAGAACTGCTTATTTACTAAACAGAGCATTCTTTTAACTGCTTCACTTTATGCAATTATAGCAGCAAGGAAAAAAGTCACTCTTTTCTTGATGCAAGAGCTTAGGAAGAAAGCGAAACTAGCCCAAAAAGAATGGGTTTTATTTTTATACATATCATGATTATTTGTTAATACTTAGATATCTTCTACGCAAAGCTAGGACTGGTGTTTCAGAACAATAGTCAGTCTTTGGATATATTTGATGGTGTTTCCACAGATCAGGAAGCACAAAGCTTCCCATGTCATGTCCCTGCACAGTGAAATGCCACTGAGGTTAAAGGGAGCTCTGCACATATAACGAAATACATGCTTGAAGTCTAGGGCTCTGGGGCAAGTTTGTGTGTTTAATCCCTCACTTTGTTTCTAACTTCTCTTTTTTTCTACTTTATTTCTAATAAGAATATTTACAGGTGTAGAATGAAGCATTACACTGCCTTGTAAGCCTCCCTATTGCCTTCAAAGATCTCTAAAGATAATACACATATACATGATGCATAAAAGTTTGACTTCTGAAATATTTACAGATGGGCCTATGATCTACAAGACCTACTTGGAGACAGAGCACAGTGATGAAAACATCACTTTCTGGCTGGCTTGTGAAGCCTATAAGAAGATCACATCACAAAGGAAAAGGATTTCGGTGGCCAGGAAACTTTTCACAATTTACATTCAACCCCAGGCTCCTAAGGAGGTGAAATACCATAGCGCGAGCTGTTCATTTCCTTACTAAAAGTATCTGAAGCATAATGTAGTTCACAAAATGCAATAACAAATGCTTGGTACCTCTTGTACAAGAAAGTGCAAAAACCTTTGCCAGCCATCCTCCCCAAACCCTTCTGCACCCAGAATTTTAGTACCTGCCTCCACTTCTTTGTCTATAGGCAAAATCTTGCAACCAAATCCACCCAGGATACAAGCAAAAGGCACAAATGCATTCAGAACCAAGTTCTTAGATCTCTGTTCTTCTTTTCAGGGTGTGATCCAGGGGCCATTCATCTCATTTTAACAGAATTTGGGTTAGGCCATTACTGCATGTATATGTTAGTCCAGTCTTTGAAAAGTAAAAAGAAATGAAGTCAAGTAAAAACTCTACCCAGTCCTGTCCGCTCAGAAAACTGGTCAGAGGAAAGGTTCTGAAAACAATCATTTTCTACTTATAGTAGCACAATGTTTAGGAGAAGTAGACCAGATCTGTATGTAGAGTGTTCAAGAGTGTTTTTTTTTTCCTAGCAAGCAGTTCTACCAAAAAAAAAAAAAA